CTGAACAATGCTTTACTTAAGCATGTGATGTGCTTAAAGCTGAGCCCATGCTAAATGCTTTGCTGAACTGTGATCTAACCATGTTTCTGGTCGTATTACTCAGTGTCTGGCAGCAACATCTCTCATTAGAAAGCAAATCCTTTACTGCCTTATAAGCCAATAAAAATTATGCATCCTTGTAAAGAAGGTGTCAAAGCCGAGTTTGCCTGAACTGTGCTTGACAACTGTTTAGAAAGCCAAGCCAAACAAATATTTTCGACCATATTTTGAGAATAATTGGTTTTATTTTTATTGGAAAGTTCTGTTGTTTTATTATGGAAAAATGCAGCATGTTCAAACTGAAGGTCGAGGAATGATTTGACATAGAACCCTGTGCAGCAATCAGGGTATTTTGCTCTCATAGAACTTGATCTTGATTGGGACAAATTCTACTCTCAGTTATGGCAGGGCACAGGCGCTGGAATCCAGAGCTGAATTTTGCAGACTGATTCCAGTGGGAAGTTAAAGGCCCCCAGCACCTTGCAAGACTAAGTCCTGTGGTATCTCTGCAAACATGAAGTAGGGTTCAACAAGCAGTTGTGATAAGCTAACAGTTCACTGCCACTGAAGGGTGAGGATTTCACTCCTCCCTGCTTCCTCACTTCCCTGTACCACTGACCTTCCCCATCCCTTCCTTGCACTGGCTCTGGCACTCACTTGCTTTCCAACTCACTAATTTGACAGAAGATGATCTACTTTGTTGTTGTTGTTGTTGTTGCTGCATTGGATTTTCTGCCAGATCAGTGAGCTCAGACAGCTCCTGGAAGAGAAGGCAGCACGTGCACATGTACTTGCACGAGGACAGAACCAGTTCAGGGTAAGCGACAAAAGGACACACAGAATGGGAGGAAAAAAACTGAAAAGGAGGAAGACAAGGCCTTCCCTTTCCACCAGCAATGGGCTTTTAAGATCAGCTCAACCCATTCCCCATAGCCCTGATCTGCTTTCATCTACATCAGTTTTACACTAGTGTTACTCCACTAATTGCAGTAATTACTGTTATGTAATTCAGATCATTAATATCCAGAAACTCTGGCCATACGCAGGGTTCCACTGCTAAACAAGGTACTATATATACACATTGCCCCTGCTCTGAGGAGCCGACAGTCTAATTCAGCACAATGCGCAATTGGAAGAGCAAACTATGGAAGATAAAAGTGGTCAGGAAGGTGGGGGTAGTAATTAGAGGAAGACACAACCAAAATTTCATCCTGAAAGACTCGCTGCATTGTTTGGTACTTATTCAGGTGAGTCACATGGATTTAATTACTGAAAGTAAATCAAACTATTTGCCTGAGCAAAAAGCTTGACTATAAGTCCATCAATGATCTAGATCCCAGCATGTGCAATGGGCAATTATACCACTTGTTTCATTTTAGATTCAGTCTCACCAAAGGGTTAATTCTGCACTTCACCTGGATGCAAAAACTCTCACTAAAGCAAACAGGAGATCTGCCTGTGTCTGGAGTGCAGCCGGACTGGGCACTTTGTCTGCCAGTTTTGTGGCAGACAGTTTCTCAGCATACATCATCATCATTCCCCATCTAAATAAACAAGCAAATCAACCAAGAAACCAACATCTAAAATTAATGTGAAACATCCTGTTCTCTATTATCAGATTCAACATCCTTCCTCCTCACCCCTGGGTTTTGGACTGAGCTCTGTGTGACAATTCTTTATACCAAACACGAAAAATATTACTTGCTTGGCAATTACCATGCCTGTTCTAAAGAATAGGAAGGAAAAATAACATGCATTTCGCCATTATCATTAAACGGCATGCCAAGGGACAGGTAAGCAGAATTTGTGTCTGGACGAGAGAATGTCAAAGCGCTGTTTTGCAAAGCTGATTTAAATTTATCACAGTACATATATCTGAGGTACTTGCATAAATTATAATCCTCATTTAGTATTGACTTAGTTGTATTAGAAAATTTGTTAGAAACAAACCTTAAGCGTTGACAATCAAGACTTCTCTTTCTGCTAGTCTTGCTGTGCCACTGTATGGGGTAAAGGCATGAAACATCCTTCAGCAATAAAACTGACGTTTGAGGGGAAAACAGAGGTGTCCTCTTCGAGAAAAATGGTAACACAGCTCTTTGATTTAAAGTAAAGAAGCAACTTTGTGTCAGTCTTCACTAGTAAGCTGTAGTGCTGTATTACCACGATGAAGATAATGTGTCATTCGTCTTTCAACAACATTTTAACTGTAAAATCCACAGCACTGAAAAGGTTTTGTTTGGAAATAAAAGAAAACAACGATGTGTTTTGATGAAAGGTGATGCTTTCCGTCTGAGTCCAAGATATAAGCCACGCAATGGTTATTTAAGTAGCACGGCATACCATGTTAGACCCTTAAGTGCCGTCCATTTCCAGTCTATGATAATTAAAACCAGTGAACTGTGTACACAAATGGTACGGATACATAAAGGTGACTGATATACATGCCAAAGTAATATGGAGTGTACAATGAAAATAGTTTTGCAGATACTGCATTCATATTCTACTTTCTTGTTGTATCTATCCACTCACTCATGTTTTTGATCTGTTGTGCACTTGGATTGAAACCAGTAACAGCAGAGAATAATTTTTTTTTTTTTTCGGTCTCAAAAATATAACGAAGGTATAAAACTGTAAAACTATACAAAAAAAAAAAAGCTGCACATACATTTTTTTGAGTGGGGACAGTAAGTACAGGCCTGAATTATTTAGAAATTCTGAAACAGTAAGGTAATTAATAAAATTATTTATAAAGAAGTATATCTACAATATTTAATAATTTAAGGCTCACAAGAAACTAACATATCAATGACAATAAAAGTTTTCTGCTATAGGGTTAAAAGCACCAAATTCACTTCACATACTAGATAATCAGATCTGTACTGATCACAAGTGGAAAACTCTGAAAGTGCTGATCTGCTAATGTTCCTAGTGCTTTAACGATGTCGTATTTCACAGGAATAAGAAATCCTCTTTCAACCATAAATACAGTTATACAGATACAAAATATATTGGAGTAACTTCAGTTTGAAACGACAGTACAAAAAACCTCAAACTCCCTCCCCCCCAATCCATTCATTCTCCACACACACATCCCCCAACTCTTTAATACTAAACTTGGAGCAACTGAATTGGTTACAAATGACCCATTTAAAACCAACAACCATTTGCTAAAATAAGTTTCTACAAATTAGATTTTGCACTGTTGTAATTTACCAGCTCCTGCATCATGGAGCGTAGCTTATTCTTAGTCTATTTTAAAAATAGGTGACCCTTTGTGTCATGGAAAAAGAACATAAAAACATGTATTCCTGGAGGACTACTCAGGACAGTGATCAATTTATAAAATATAGCCTGAATTAAAAAACTAATTGGTACCAAAAGAATAATTATAGTAATAAGTTTCTGACACCAGCAAATCCTTCTGCATCTCTGCACTCTAACTCTCTCCTCTCCTTACAGGTCTGTTTCCCTATTGGTGTCCAGACAGAGAGCATAGAGGGATTTTCTGAGATCGACGTTACTTTTTGCTTTGATATTGGTTTTCTCTAAGGAACTGGTGCCATTGTTGAACCCCTCACTGTTTTCCAAGTGCACAACAGATTTGTTCAGAGAGTTTCTACTGGATCTTCTCTTCACGTCTCCCCCCGCTGTGCTGCCCTGAGCACTACTGTGTTCATCTTTGAGGATGGCTTGCTCTTCATGATCAGTCTCTCGGTGGTAGAAGTAATTGAAGTTGGATACAATGACAGGGACAGGCAGGGCGATGGTGAGCACACCTGCGATGGCACACAAGGAACCCACAATCTTGCCCCCCACGGTGACAGGTCGCATATCCCCATAGCCCACAGTGGTCATGGTAACCACTGCCCACCAGAAAGCATCAGGGATGCTGGAGAAATGAGACTCAGGGTCATCCGCCTCAGCAAAGTAGACAGCACTGGAGAAGAGGATCACCCCAATAAAGAGGAAGAAGATAAGGAGGCCCAGCTCCCTCATGCTGGCTTTCAACGTCTGTCCCAAGATCTGCAGACCCTTGGAGTGCCTGGAGAGCTTGAAGATCCTGAAGACCCTGACCAGGCGAATAACTCTGAGGATGGCCAGGGACATGGCTTGCTGCTGGCCCCCGCCCCCATTGCCACTGCCAGCCCCAGGCTGCTCATGGGCCAGCTCGGTGCCCAGGGTGATGAAGTAGGGGATGATGGCCACGATGTCAATGATGTTCATGATGTTGCGGGAGAACTCAGGCTTGCTGGGGCAGGCAAAGAAGCGGACAAGGAGCTCAAAGGTGAACCAGATCACGCAGGTGGTCTCGATGATGAAGAAGGGGTCAGAGAGGCTACTGGGTGGCTGCATGGGTGCGGAGTCCCTGGTCGTGCCATTCAAACCTCCACTTTGTGGGGGCAGGGGCACAGGCATCTCCCTCTCGTCCCTGAATTCTGGCAGGGTCTCCAGGCAGAAGGTGATGATGGAGATGAGAATGACCAGCACGGAGCGGATAGCGATGCCCCGTGCCGAGCCGGAGCTCTCAGGGTACTCAAAGATGAGCCAGACCTGGCGCTGGAACTCGTTGCGGGGCAGAGGCTTCTCCTCCTCTTTGATGAAGCCCTCATCCTCCCGGAAGCGCTCCATGGCCTCCTCACCCAGCTGGTAGAAGCGGATCTCGTCGGCAAAGACGTCGATGGAGACATTGACGGGCCGGCGGAGCTTGCCCCCGGACTGGTAGAAGTAGAGGATCCCGTCGAAGCTGGGCCGGTTCCGGTCGAAGAAGTACTCATTGCGGAGCGGGTCGAAGTAGCGCATGCGCTTATCTGGGTCTCCCAGCAGCGTGTTGGGGAACTGGTTGAGGGTGCCCAGCTGGGTCTCGAAGCGCAGCCCCGAGATGTTGATCAGCACCCGCTGGTGGTGCATGACACCCCGGTTCGCCGCCGCCT